TTTCATTCCTGGAGATCCTTTTCTCTCTCTCTGCGTCAGCTTCTCTGCGTTCCTGTTCTCTGGTTTCTATTCCATTAACGGCCTCTTGCACCTCATCCAGTCTGCCCTGAAGTCCTTCTGGAGATTGTTTTATTTCTGTGTTCTCCCTCCCAGCTTTATCCCTTAGCTCTTGCATATTTCTCTGCAGCTCTATCAGCATGGTAATGACCTTCATTTTGAATTCTTTTTTGGGGAGATTGGTTAAATCTATCTCTCCAGGCCCTCTCTTGCAGGTGGTCTGGGTAATTTTGGACTGGACCAAATTCTTCTGCCTTTTCACGGTGACAGAGGTGGCTGTAGGCAGGTAGCACGTGTGTCCGCTGGGAGAACAAAGTCCTTTCCTGCTTGCTGGTCACCTTGCCCTTCTCCACTGCCTGTGTCGGTTACCCGCACTCCTGGAGCTGCCACCGGGTCAATCCCCTAAGCTGCTGTGGGCGGGGTCTCGGTCAGGGTAGCGCAGAGCCCTGCAGGGAGTGGCAGGCATGCTGGGTGTGCTCTCCTGTGAAAGTGGTGCTCCCGCCAGGCAGCTGCATGCTGGCGGTGGCCTTTGGGTTTGGCTCAGGCAACTGTGCACTGGGAGGAGATTCTGGGCAGCTGCTGGGGGCATGGCTGCTCCTGGGCAGCTTGGCCACCGCTGCAGGCTCATGCAGGCTGCTCCTGCGCCTTTTGCTTGGCTGCCACCACTGCTGCCAGCTCACGCAGGCCATTCGCTCGGCTGCCGCCGCCGGCTCACACATGATCACATCTTTTATAAAATTGGCCACAGCAAGGTATTTTAACTGCCATGGACTGAGACTGCTGCCCCTTCCTCTCCCAATTCCTCCATTCTGCTCCTTTCCATGCCAGGTGGCACTGGAGTGGCCACAGCCATTTTGGGAATCCAGTGAAGGAAAAGTTGAGTTGGTGGCTCATTTAACTCAGATTTCAGTTTAGCTATTCCTGTGGTTTATTGCTACTTTGTGAGTAGTTGAAGAATGCTATCCTTGCTGGCATACAAATGGCTCCCAGGACATTATTCCCACTCATGACTCACTTCTGAAGCACAGTGACATGAAGATGCAGGCCTGGAGATCATTTCACCCTTGAGCAGGAACTACAGTTGCCAGCACTGTGAGCTTTGGGTGGAGGAAACGCAAGAGTTGAAATGTCTGGAAGCAAAGGCCACATTCCACTTCACACCACAAGGGGTAACTGGATTCAGACCTCCCTCCTACCTAAACAACTAGAAATTGGGAAAATATATAAAGTGATTGTTTTCAGACCCTGGATCATGAGCAGTGTACCTCTGGTCTCTGAGAGAAGAGAAACCAAGGAGGTGAGCCCTCTGAGCACCACATGTCTGGATCACAGACCACAATACAGGAGGGAACCTGAGCAGATTACAATGGTCTTGCTAAACTGAGGAGACAAGGATTAGGACTAGGGAGGCAGAGGCAGCGGGTTTTGCAAGGCAGAGTATCAGAGGGGAGGGAGCCACGCAAAGAAGGTGCTCCGTAGATCTCCAGAGGGTTCCCCTCCGTGTTTTTGAATACTAGGCCACACATGCAGAGAGTGAAACCCCATAGGACTAAGCAAAGTAGTTTCTGGGAGGAGCAGGCTGAACAATTCCAGAGTTCAACAGGGCTAAAAGATGTGTGAGTTCTGCCCATCATAGTGGGGAGTCCTCACTGGACACCTGGGACACTGAATAGAGACCCCAGAAGGGTCACCCCTTGGCAGTAGATCCAAACTAGACCAGCCCAAATTAAAGGCTACTCTAAATCCATCCTAACATAAGGATGGGTCTCCAAGGGATCAGGAGATCTGCAGGTAACTTAGGCCTGTCTAACACTCTTGAAAGGATGAACCCAACCCCAGCACGCAACATCATCAAGTGCACGATATCCAGTATCTAATCAGAAATCACCAGACAGGCAAAGAGGCGGGCTGAGTGTGCCCAGTTGGAAACGCAGGCACCCCAGTTCCCTGCCAGTCACTATTAGACTTTAATTATACATTGCCTGGCATATGGCAGGTGCTCAATGCACTGACAGTTTGATAATTATGATATATGTGAGAAATCATTCCAGTCCTCAGACATGTAAAATACTAAGTGGAGGCTTTAGTTCTTGCCAACACATAGTACAATGGAAGCCCTCACTAGTGAGGACTATACTCAGCCAACACAGTTTGTCTGTGTTCATTTTCTTAAAGAGGAATTATGAAAAATTCAAAAATTCAAATTTATAAAGGCTTCAGGCCCAAAAAACTTGAACCTGCCTGGGTGTATAGCTATGTGGCCTCCAACTCAGGCCATCAACCTTGAGTGGAATATGGATTAATGTCTCTCCCCCATTCAGCTGCCACCCAGTGCAGAACTGTCTCTGTACCCAAGTCCCACAAGTGGCTGTTAACAGCCTTTGTAGTGTAAAAACTGACCTCCCTTGTCCTCCATCACATGTCAGGGCAGCTGGAAGTCAGAAAGGAGTGCAAAAAGGTGCTCCCAGGCAAGCAGGGCCACCTGTTGCTGCCCCTGCTTCCCCAGCACAGAACCCACTTGCCCTACAGATAGCCCCAGAGGCCTCCAGGCAGAGCTCCCTCGGGCCCCGACTCGGTGGCGCAGCGCAGAGGGCCTGCTGGGGCCTGAGCCGGGGAAGCCGCACCGGCGAAGGCAGGGTGTCCTCCAGGGCGCTGTGTGGCCTGCTTACCTCTGCCTCTCGTCCTGCTTTTCCTGCATGTAACCCAGGCTATGTGGTGTCCATCATGGGCAGGAGGAGACTGCTGCCAGGGATCCGTGCGCGAGACCACCGGCTCCGGGCACAGGCAGAGCGGCAGGCAGTGAACTTCGTGGTGCAAGGTACCCAGAGCCCTCACCTTACCTGCTGTGTTCATTTACTTCTCTGATTTTGAGCAGCTGCAGGGCCAGTATGCCCCCCCCCCCCAGTATGCCCTGGTATGTCCTACCCTGTCTTCCCTGGCAGTTGCTGTCAGAAGGTGCCAGGGAGATAACACCTGGAACATGGTGGCTGCTCAGCACATGTTGTCTGTGTAATCATGACGTTTGCCCCTGAGGACTGGCGGAAGCCGTGCCATCCCTCCTCTGCAATAGGAACAGAGGCTTAGCCAGCCCTGGGCCAGACTGGAGCTCAGGCCCTGGTGCAGCCTGGGGCTCTCTGTGATGCCCCTCAGGCCTGGTGGGTGTGGGGCTTGAGCACCTCCAGAGCCTAGCGTGTCCCCCAGTGTCCTGACGCCCTCAGCAGGGGGCAGCTGGGGGAGGGATGGCATGTCATTCACCTCCAGTTAGGGAAACTCCTGAATCTTCTTCAGCCATGGCTCTCAAATAGCCCAGGTCTTTGCACAGAGGTGGAGAGCTGTAACCATGGGCTCCACATGCCATGTCATGAGCGCCCCATGAGGCATCAGGGTAGCCTGGGCATCAGGCACTGCCCCCTCCTGAGACCCAAAGGTCACAGCTGGGGAATTGAGGCCTGCAGGGCCCAGAGAAGAAGCCTGGATGAAGGATCCCAGCCCCAGGTGCCTGACAGGCCTGCCCACAGAGGGGTGGGCTGTCGCAGGAGGGTGGCCAGGGGCCCCAGGAGACAAGGAGTGGGGCTCAGCGAAGGACAAAGTTCCAGTCCACAGTCTGCTGTGTACCCTGCGGAGAGGTGGGTGGTGCTGTCCGGCTCAGGCCCAGCCTCTGTGTCTTCCCTGGAGACCAGGGGAGATGCAGTGGCCGAGAGGGTGGTTGCTAGGATTCAGTCTGGGCTCAGTGTGGAGTCTCCCCAAGCCTCAGTCCCCAGCATGACGGCCTCCAGGTTCTGGGACGGCCGATTCTAAGGGGCTCTCCCATGTGAGGAAGTTGCTCTGCCTGCCAGGTGAGCGCCAGATGGTGTTGGAGCTATTTTAGAGAGCCCTTCCAGAAAAGACTGAACATGAGATACCTTCATGTGGGAAGCTGACCAGGGGCCGTGGCTGCGGACCTGAGCTGCCATGAACACTGCCTGCCTGCCTGCACACCTGTGCTTCTGAACAGCGACCTGCTGGTCATCTGCTTAGCAAACATCTGTTTGCTGAACTAATTAGCTGAACAAATGAGGTGCCAGGGCAAAGCAGTGGCAGAGCCAGCAAGGAAGTTCTGCCTCCACATGGGCAGACGTGTCAGCTGACAAGGCCAGCCGTTGGACCCCTGGCCTCCCTGGTCACCCCCTTACCCACCGTCCGCACCCCTCCACCCCGACTCCCTCCTTGCTCCTGCGGCTCTTGCACTTTTCCTAAAGCAGCCAGCATCCTAACATCCCACCCCCAGGAGAGGGTTCCCATGGCCCCAAAACCCCTCACGGCCAGCACGTTGGCCTCAGAGACCAGACTCCCATGTTCAGCATTCCCCCCATGCTTGTAAGGAAAAAGCAAATAGCCGTCCTGGGGCCGTGGCTGGGGCCGTGGCCATGCACGGGGGGAAGGCAGTGGATTGACAGAGGACTTTAACTTCTTCGTTACCCCAGGGACTACGAACAGCTAATGCAGTTTAGAACCAGCTGTCTCCGTGGGCAGACAGCCCTCTCTGCCTAGCCCTGGTACAGGCATATCCCCACCCAGCCTCCCAGGGTCCTGACACGCTGGCTGAATAAATGCCTGCCTGGCGATGTAATTTATCCCCACTGAGCCAGAGCCCCTTCTACCCACGTAAAGCTGAGGGTCAACGAGATTAAAAGGCCACACAGCTGGAGGCAGTGGGCACTGGGGCTGAGCCATATCCATTCGCTGGTGCAGAGGGCAGCACTCTAGATTCTGCATCCTGTGTGCACACCCCATATGTGGGCAGAGCCCATGAATATGATGGGATGTCCCTGCTGTGGCTACATCATGCTACATGCCAAAGGGGTTTGCAGATATAAGGTCCCTAATCAGTTGACTGAGTTATACAAAGGGCGATTATCTCAGGTGGGCCTGACCTCATCAAGTGGGCCCTGGAAAGAAGGTTTAAGGGTCAGACAGAGTCAGCGATTCCCAGCAGCAGATACCCTCCAGCTGGCCACGAAGGAACAAACTGCATGTTGGAGGGTGGGCCCCTGGCGAGGACCCAAGGGCAGCCTCCAGGTGCTGAGCCACCCACAGCCAGCAGCCGGCAGGAGCCTCAGCCATTCCCTGCGGGAAGCAAACTCTGCCGACAGCCCTGGGTCATCGGGGAGTGGGTCTCTGGTAGAGCTTCCAGACGAGGACGCGCTTGGGTGGGATCCTGATCTCAGCCTATGAGGCCCTGAGCAGGGGATCCAGCCGCCCGTGTTGCAAGAACTGGGGGGTGGCAGGTCCGGTGGGGGGGGGGGTCATACATCACACAGTGCAGAAAACTAAGACGGCTGGCCGAGGCCAGCAGTGCTGGGCAGCCCCTGCTAGCCGAGTCCCTGCTACGAGCCCTTGGACCCCACACCGAAACAACCTTTGTGCCCCACAGGCTCGGCTGCAGACCTCTGTAAAATGGCCATGATCCGCATCTTCGCTGCAGTGGCCACTTCCCCCACCCTGACAGCCAGGTCAGTGCGTGAGTGGCCCGCCTGCCTGGGGCCTGGCCCAGCACAGGGACCTGCCTGTCCCGGGGCTCAGGTGGGGGGCCTGCTGTTCCGTTGCGCCTCTGTGCTGGCTGTCACACACTCACCACCCAGGGGCAAGGCAGTGTGTACCAGCCTCCTAGGAGGGCTCTTTCCCTCCTGACCTGGGCTGAGCAAGGGGCCTGGGGCCTGTGCACAGCAGCATGCGGTACCATCAGGCCATTCAACTCGGGACAGGATGAGGTCTCCTGAGGTTCACGTGGTCCAGAAATGCATCTTCCTAGACCCCTCCTCTCGGTGCATCTGATCCACCTTCAGCCCCAGCCCATGGGGCACCAGAGGTGAATGAACCCCACAGCCCCCAGGACAGGACACAGACTCCAAACTGTCCCCACTCCCACCCTGCTAGCGCCACCCTCCCCAGTCAGCTGCTACCCCTGCCCCCAGGCTCAGATGCACCTGCAAAGTGGGGCTCCACTGTAGTTGCCCCCAGCCACAGCTATCTCTGCCTCAGCCACTTTCCCTGGGGTGCACACCCCGAGCATCTGGGTGGCTGGGTGACAAAGAGCCCCCGCCCAGCCTCTGCTGGCCCTGTGCCACCCTCCTGGCCACCAGGAGTCCTGGCCAGGGAGCAGGTGGCAGTGGGTGGGTTCTCCGGACTCCCAGCACCCCTTCTGGCAGCTAACCAGAAGTCCCCTAGAGAAGTGAGTGGCCCCCCTAGAGGCCTGGCTCCCTGCCTCTTCCATCCCCAGGCACACTTGCCCATGTTTGCTGTAGCCTCCAGCAGGCCAGCACGAGCCTGTCCCTCAGAGGTGCCCTTCCAGGGGGACAGAAGCCGGCTGGACTCCTCCCCTGATCTTTGAGACACAGGGACCTGCTTGCCTAAAGCCACTCTTCCATCTGAGCTTACAGTTTTCTCTTGGCTTCTGATATTTATATTCTCAGACATGACTTTTCTTTATCTAAGACCTTTGAACTTTCTTTAAAACTTCATATCCTATATTTCTTCAGATATTTCTTGATTGTTTTGGCTTCTGAGCCTGTGTTCCTTTGGTGGTTTCCCCAGTTTGGTGCCAAGTCAGGCCAGGGCCCGCCCCAGGGACTGTAGGGTGGCACCATAGTAAAGAAGAGCAGAGAAGACTGTTCCCAAGCCCCACAGAAGCACTGTCGCCCGCCCCCTTGCCGCCCCTGCACGAGACGCTTCCTCTGGTCCACGGGTCACCTTACAGCCCTGGGGAGAAGCCACCTGGGGAAGAGGCCATACCCTGGTCTGTCATCCCATGAGCCTGGGGTAAGGGGTGGAGGGCCCAGTGCCTGAGACCCCAGCAGACACCTGCTGGCACCTGCGCCGGGTCTGCACTACCATCTGATCTCTGCAGTGACGGGGGAGCCGAGGGCCGAGAGCAGAGCTTACAGGGCTTTCCTCTTGCTAGTCCTGCTGCCTGTCTCGCCATCTGCTCCCCACAGCCAGCACATACACCCAAAACCACAGGCGTCCAGTCATCCCAGGGTCCCCTCATGTTTTCCTGACTAGCTCCTGACCCACAAACCCTGCTCACTCGGGGGGTTTCTGTGGGGTAGATCTGGGAGGGCAGGAGCACCCTGCGCTCGCACACCGTCTTGGCAGGGACAAAAGCCGAGTGGTTGCTCGGAGCCCTGACATCATACGTCTAAAAGAGCCTGATCATTTCTGGGGTTTGTGGGATGGACAAAGGAAGTTGGTATATGAGGATGTGGAGTCATTTTTGGTGACAAAGCCCAGAGCTGAGCATGAACAGTTCTTACCCAGGAACCTGACAGCCCAGCTAGTTGCCTCTCTGCCACCGGCCCTGCACTGTCCTCAGGAAGTGCTGTTCCTGAGCCAAGCAGAGTGCTGGGCAGTACTGGGCATTTCACACTCAGTGCTTCGTCAGCTTGATTCGTTCTTCCCAGTCACAGAAGAGGGTTCGGATCATGTCTGGAAGGGCAGATGTGGGCCATGGGTGAGCTCGTGTTGGCCCAAAGCGCTGTGAGCGCGGCATGTCACCAGGAGGCTCCGGGCAGCTCAAGGGGAGCAGGTGCCCATAGACACCTCCAGCCATGACCGCCCGTGGGCTGGAGCTGTGGGATGGCCCACGCCCGAGGCCCGCCTTTGCCTTGGTTGCTGGAGAGCTCACTCAGCCTCTGTGCCAGCGGTCGGTGGAGCCGGGCAACGAGCCCCACCTCGGCCTCTGACCACACAGGACCCCTGTGAAAAGGCCTTTCCAGGCTTCAGAACATGTCGGAGCTGGAAAGAAGCTTAAAGAGACTGTTGACTCCCACACCTGCGTGTGGAGAAGGGGAAATGGCTCAGAGCAGGGTGCAGCACGTCCAGGTCACGCAGGGCTGGCCAGCACCCGGCCTCCCCCCAGGCAGCAGCTTTTCCCACCCTGCGCCTCTGCCCTGCCACAGCCCCAGCTGATCGCCCACTGGACCCAGCAGCGGCCTCAGGGAGACACCTGCTCCTTTTCCTGTGGGTACAAGGAGGTCAGGGCAACTGCAGGGGCATCTGTGGAAGATGGGGTCATCTGCTTGCTTGCCAGCGGGCCAGCCCTCTGACCACCTCACAATGCAGCAGCCACCTGAGGGCACCGTGTGGCCAGGCCTGGTATGGTGTGTAGGGCACTCACTCTTGGCTTCAGAAGGGGTCAGAGAAGGTGCGTAGGGCCCACGGGAGGCTAGAGGAGTAGGCAGCGGCCTCAGTGAACTGTGATGGGTGGCAGAGCTGGGCTTCCAAGACTAGAGGCTCAGCTGCTTCTGAGTCCTGGCCCTGGGGGCAGACAGGAGCCGCGGCAGGAGGTCTCAGGGTGCTTCCTGGACCTGACCGTGATGGGCGCAGGGCCACTGTGCGGCCAGGAGGGAGCTGCCCCAGGCAAGCCACACCAAGGAGAGCAAGAGACCGGCCAGGCCCCTCTGGTGTGCTCCTCAGGGGGCGCTGGTCCCTGCGGCCTGCCTAGTCCCAGTGCCAAGGCATGGGCAGGCACCTTTCCTCAGTGCGGGGACCTGATGCCTGTACCCATCTGCCTCAGTGGGGAGCCTCCATTTCTCCTTTCTGTGCCCCAATTCCCAGTTAGAGATAGGGTGATGTGGTCGTCAGCTGGGAGGGTGATGGGAAGGCGACTGACAGTGCAGGCCTATTCTTAGGCGACTGCCACACAGCAGCTCCAAATTCACAGTATAATTTCAGGAAGTGTGAAAACTGTTTCTGCTAAATCTGGACAGATGTACAGTGCCTGTTCTGAGGCTTCTGCCCATTTGAAGACTAAGGCCCCTGGGAAGCTGAAGACCCCACCAGAGGTTTTGAAGTTAGAGAAACCCAATGTGGCCGGCCGGTCTAACTTCAGAAGGGGGTTGTCGCCAGCCTGGCCCGAGGCTCCATTCAGAACTCAGGTGCACATCCCTGGGGGCAGCCACAGGGGCCGGCAGCCTGCCCGCGCCTGCAAACGCACTGAGGTCTGGGCCCAGAACCATGTCCTGTGCATCCTCTCCAGGACATTGTGCACTTACTCACCAGTGATAGGAACACAGGCCCAGCTGTAAGGCTCAGACTCCAAAAGGTGGATTTTTCTCCCATGAGATGTCCAGAGGCCACAGTTGCTGACTGGTTCAGAGGTTCAGGGCAGCAAGACCAAGGACCCACTGGATTGATGGCCGTTGGCCTTTTGGAGCCATGATGGAGGTGTCTGCTCCAGCCATCACAGTGCCTTGCAGGCAAAAGTAGTGATGGTCAAAAGGTACCTAACCCCGGCCAAGTCAGCTCTTCAAAGAGCCTTCCAGAAAGTTGGAGGGTGTACACTTCAGGGGCCACTCCATCTGGGAGAGAGCCTGGAAGATGCTTGTAGCTATGGACACAGCCCCACCTCCACCCCACCCAATGACAAAGAGGAAGAGTAGAGTGGGGTGGACCCTGGTAATCTCTGCTGGGCACCTCAGACTGAACGTGCACTACAAGCCATCTCTGCACTGAGGGACTGGGGTTGAAGAGCTGCTCCCCGCCCACACCCAGAGCTTGCAACACAGGACTGCTGCCCTGGGCTCACACCTGCCCTGTACGGCCCAGGCTTCTTGGTGCCTCTGGGCCCACGGCTCCACCACATGCGGCGGCCTGCCCACAGCCCCTTCCCTCATGCACTGTGCCTGCCACGCACTGCAGTAAGCTGACAAGGACTGGACTGGCCCCTGCCCTTAAAAGCCCAGTCCCAGAGACAGAGACCAAGTCACACAAAGACAGAGCATATGGGAACCCCTGATACACCCATCCTTCCCAGAGGGCGGCTGGCCCTCGAGACCATTTGGTGGATCACGGGCACCAAGCCCCACCCCCAGCCCCAGCAGTACAGAGAGAGCCACCGTCGCCCACCCTGGGGGCAGGGCTGGCACCAGTTCTGGGGCCACAGCCCGAGGCAGGTGTCATCTGCCCGAGGCACACAGCCAACCCAGATCCTGCCTTCTGAAGAGCCTGTTAAGCCTGGCATGCACTTGCTGTGTCCAGCTACAGCCATGTTCTGTGTGACAACAAAGAGCTTCAAGAGCTGATCACTGGGTGTGGTTCTCAGTCCGTCCCCTCCCCACGCACACCTCTGCATCTGCTGACCTGTCACTGAGTGTCAGCCCTCCCAAGGCCCTGCCCCGCCACCCTCACCATCCTTCCCTACAGCGCCCACTTCGCCACCTCCCACTTCCTCTCCCTTCTGAGGCAGGTAGGGACAGGTGCCCCCCGAGAGGGTGCTTGAGGGGCTGCTGACGGCGAGGGGGCGGCCCCGGTGCAGGGGCTCACCCAGCGGAGGAAGCCGGAGGAGCAGCAAGCTGCCCCAGGCCTGTGGGGTCTGTGAGGCTCAGCCCCAGCGGGGGCCTGCAGGGGCAGGCGCAGACCGGGGCGGGCTGCAGCGAGGGGCCCGGCCCCCGGGCAGTGCGGCCTTGGCCCGTGAGAGGAAGTGCAGGTGGAGCCCCGGCCCCAGCGCCCCTGTGAAGCCGGGCGGCTGGAGCTGGGGGACTGAGAGATTTTTGTTTTGCACTTTGGACTCTGGAACATGCTTTCCGAACTTAAAAGAGTTTCTTTGACTCAGTAGTAACTTTTTAAAAAAACACTGTCTGGCCCATCACCTTCTCTTAAGCTAGTATTCAAAGTGAGGGTGTTCCCCACTCCTCTAGGGACCCCACATTCTAGGTTCACCTTCACTGCTCACAGCAGGCCCCACGCCCTGGTCAGCAGAGATTTCCCCCTAAATCTGAGTCAGACTTCCACCCCTGCTGGGACTTGCAGAGCATGACCCTTGGCCCCACCACTCGCTGTGGGCTCCTGGGGGTGGCAGGGTCACCTAGCCCCCCTTCCAATGCTGTCAGCCACTTGTGGCCTGGGCTCGCACCTCCCCGGACTGTCCTGGTGCTGATGCTGCCCAGAAGCTGTCCTGGCTGGGTCTTTCCACTCCCCACAGCCTTGGGACCCCTGTGTGGACCGCAGCCCTCTCCGTGGCAGCCCATGCCCACCCAGCCACTCCCACCTGCCACGCAGACTGAGCAACACCTCCCCGCCATGTGTTCCAGGTTGGTTGCACAAATTCACGACGAGCTGCTGTTTGAGGTGGGAGATGCACAGGTTCCTGAGTTCGCAGGTGAGCCCAGGGTAGCACAGGCTGCTTTTATTCCATAACCAGCTGAGTGTCTCCCCTGTGTTTCTGGGCTTTGCCTGGTGGGCTCAGAGGCCCTTCCCTGCCTCCTGCTGCCAGGCACCTGGACTGTGCTGGCAGAAGAGCTGATCTGGTGGGAGGCTTTTCAAAGGCCCATCGGGGCTGCACAACTGCTCTACTTTGGGGGCCGTGCCTCAGTTGCACCAGGGCCGCCCAGGCCGGAGGGTACCCAGCTGAGGAGCCAGTGGGGCCTTGGTCCTGGGAGATCCGTGCGGCTCAGGCCCTGGCTCAGCAGGGACTCCAAGCACGGGTCCTGCTCAGCCTTCTCTGAGCGGCTTCACTACCGGCTGTTAGCCCTTAGGACTTCTTGAAGCCAGGGATCACCTGTCCCTGCACTGGGCCCTCAGGGATGGCCAGGACCTCCCCGAGCTAACACAGTGGCTGGGGGCTCCCCTTCTGGCCTCACTGGCCTTGTGGGAGAAAACAGGAGCCCCCTAGATCCCATGCCCCTCGCTACACTGGCAGGGTCTGTGACAGTGCATGTGGGGCTGGGAGGGACTGCGGTGAGAAGCATGGCCGTGGCCCCTGGTGGACGTGACGTCCTGCAGCTTGCCGGCAGCTCCAGGGGCAGGACTGCAGGACCAGTGAGCTGTGTACCAGGTGGTACCAAGGCTGGGTGGTCAGGACACATACCAAGGCTGGGTGGTCAGGACACGCCGCTGGCTGCCCATGGTGCAGACATCAGGCTGAAGGCCCCACAGCTCCCCAGACCTGGGACCACTGCCCGGCCATCCCTGTGGAGCCACCATCGGAGGCAGCCCTGCCTGACCCTGGGGCCACATGGTGGAAGCCAGAGCGAGTCCGGGGCTGCGGGTCACGCCTCTCTGCCCAGCGGTTGCCTGGCGTTAGTCACTCAGTGGGGCAAAGGCAGGGACACACAAGGACCGGCAGGGTGAGGGGCTGAGGTAGAAAGCATGTAGACACCCCTGCAGCTCCCCAAGTGCTCCACAGACCAGAGGGGTTGGGGCCATGCTGCCCACCTACTGCCCCACAGCCCTACCTGCAGCCAGCGACCAGCTCCCTACCCTCCGACCACTAGCAGTGCCCTCTGCATAGCTCCAAGAATGGAATGAGGCTGAGCTCAGGGCACACAGCCCTGGGTGCCTGCCGGCCCAGCTCCACACACCTGGGCCCAGTGCCCCAGGGACCCGGCCAGGTGACTCTGGGTGTGCAGGACAGAGAAAAGGCAGCAGCGCCCAACCTGGGCCCTTGCAGTGCTGTCTTCACACTGGAGGTCAGGTAACTCAGCACGGAGTTCGGGGTTTGTCGAAGGGGCAGGAGAGTGCAGAGCAAACAGAGCCAGCAGCCCCCTCACCCCCAACGCCCACACTGCTTCCTTCCCAGGCTGAGCGCCGCTGCCCCACCACCACGGCGACCAGGCTGCCCCAGGGACCAGGGCCCCAGGCGGGGCCAACCCGCTGGCAGAGGCACACATCCTCCTACCCACGTGGCCCCGTGGGGGTGGCCTGTTCCTCCCTCCCGCAGGCCCCAGGGCCTCGGGACGGAGAGCTGGAGGCCCACCCACGTGGCAGGGAAGAGGGCCCGCTGCGGAGGAACAGGAGGTGGGGTCCCGGCCCTGCTCTGAGGCCTGGAGGCCCTCCCCACCTCCAGGGGCCACAGGTGGGGCAATTAAGGTGCCTTCAGGTGACCATGTGGGCCCAAGAGACAGCCGGCAGCTTGGAGCAGGGCAGGGCTGGGCCAGGGCATCCTCATGGCCAGCCCTGCCCAGGCAGCTTGGGGATGCCCCTCTCTCCCCTCTGCTCTAGCTCTTGTCAGGGGAGCCATGGAATCGGCGGGGCGCGTGCAGGCTCTGGAGCCGCAGCTACAGGTGAGGGGCAGGTGGGGGGCGGGGTGGGTCGGCCCAGCCTTCTAGGCCTCCCCCAGCTCCCCCTGGCAGGAGAGCCAGGACCAGGGGCTCAACTCCAGCCCTGCCCGTGGCCCCTGAGCTCCCAGAATGCCCTCCCCTCCCCTCCTGCCCTGCTTAGGAGCCAAGTCACCCCAGCTGATCAGGGGTGGCTGGTCTGCCTCTGTGTCAGTGAGCAGGTGCAGACATCCCACCGGCCCAGGTGCTCCCCAGGACATGTCTAGTCCCAGCCCCAGTCCCGGCTGGTCACCCTCAGAGGGGCCTCCAGGTCCTTGTGCGGCACGGGTCTCGGTCCAGGCTCCCCAAGGCAGTAGAGAAGATGGAGGGGTAACAAGGAGGTGGGGTTCCTGAAGCCTGTGCCAACACCCTAGGCAGGGTCAGAGACATCCCTGTCACCCAAAACAGGCACTCCAGCCTAAAAGGCCCCCCAGAACCCCTGGGAAAGCTGGCTCTGCTCTCCTGGGAAAGGCTTTCCCCTCCCTCCCAGCTCTTCCCTCCCAGGGGTCGTGGCCAGGCTCTGTGCCCTGGGGCCCCTGCATACCATCCCTCCCTTAACTTTGCCAAGGGCATCACTCACCTTGCTCTACAGGTGGCAGCTTGGCAGGGTCAGGAGGCATCTGTGCAGGCCCAGCCAGAATGGGGACCCCTGGGCTCTGGAGTAATCCCTGCTTGCTCCTGTGGGGGCAGAGGGGCCCTGAGGGCCCCTGGAAGCCCCACTCCACTGCAGTCCTGCAGGCTGCAGTGTGGCTGTGGGCGTGGGCAGAGCCGCTGAGCGGGGGTCTGGGACCTTGGGCAAGGACCCTCAGGATCAGGGTCCCAGAGGGCTCTCAGGCCCCCCAGCACCCCTTAGAGCTGACCAGTTCCCTGGGCGCAGGACCCCACGGTGGCGAGCACAGGTGGGGCACATTGACCCCAGCAGGCCTGCCCACTGGCACAGAGGCCCTGGCAGGTCGGACGTGGGACTCAGCCAAGGTCTCAGGACCGGGGGATGGCATGGAGTGGCCTTGGCAGCACGCATCCGTAGCAGCGTTGCTGTGGCTGCATGTAACCAGAGCTAATTTGGGCAAGTGCCTGCTGGTCACTGCAGGCACCTGTCCACCTGCACTGGGCCTGGGAGGTGGTCAAGGACTGGCCCAGGCCCGGTGCCTACCTCTGCCTGCCTACCGCCTGCAGGTGCCTCTGAAGGTGAGCCTGAGTGCCGGCCGCTCGTGGGGACACCTGGTGCCACTGCAGGAGGCCTCAGGGCCTTGGCCCCACCCCTGTCCCACAGTCTCCAAGCAGTAACCCAGCCGGCCTCCCAGCCAGGCCCCGCATCAGCACCAACCCCTGGCAGCACGGGCATTTCTCGCCTTCGTTTTGTCTGTAGCCCCAGGCAGCAGTGGGCGGAGAGAACTGGCTCCCACCAGTCATTGTGTGGCCTTCCCCAAGGACAGCGGTGGGCGCTTTGTGCCAGCTCCGTGGCTAGAGCGGAACCAGCAAGGGCCACATTCACCCTCTGGGTCGGGCCCTGGAGTAAACACCTCACCCGAAGCTGTCCTGCTCCCGTGAATTCTTCCTAGGGCTCAAATGCCTTGTCCACAGCCCCACTTGGCGAGAGCGGGGCTGAGCACCCCAAATGGGAGGAGTGTGCACCCCCAGCCTCTCTTCCACGGACCCCAAGGGGCTGCCACAGGCTCCAAGGCACCCAGGTCTCTTCACCATCGGGCACCTGCTGCCAGACCAGCCCCGCGGGCACCACTGTGCTGGGATGGAGAGAACGCGGTGCCATGTGTCGGGAGAGTGTTCCTGAGTGACTCCTCCACAGGGCCTGGCGGTGAGGGGATGGAGGTGGCTTTCAGGGGTGCTGATGTATCTGAGGCCCAGCCAGGCTGTTTAGGCCTCTGGAGTCACAAGCCCCCTGCAGGCCAGTGACCAGGACAAGGCCCTCCACCAAGAGTCTTACTTTCAAAGCAGTTCTCACAGATCCCACCCTTGCTGAGGGGCCAGGCCCAGCCTGTGCACCCCAACATCCTCACAGCAGCCTGTGACAGAGACACAAGCATGATTCCTCCTCTACAGCAGGGAAACCGAAGCACAGAACCGTCATCACCTGGACCAGCACATATGGCTTAATAGGCACATCAGCTGGGGTTGCATTACAGGCCTGTGCCACGCACCCCTGCTCTGCTGCCCCCATCACAGCCCCTGGGAAAGGGGCTCCCCTTTCCAGATCACCCTGACCCCTAGGGGCCCTCAGTGCCCCTGGCTCACCTCCTAGTCTGGGTCTGGGCTCCACCTGTCACCTTCTAGTGAGGCACCGGGTCCCCATGGCCCATGTGGGGCTGGGTGACTCCAGGGCTGTGCCAGGCTGCTCGTCTCAGCGGCGGCTGGGTTCCAGCGCTGCCTTCTTTGTGAATCCCGCCAGACGCACATTGTCTTTTCTGGGTGACACGGACTCCAGTCCCATTTTTCTCATGGCTTCAAGATATTATCACAGGCTTCCCGGGGTAGGCAGGACATGGCCCAGGCCCGACAGTCTTCCAGCATCTGGACAGCTGGCCCAGCCACCGAGGGGCCCTCCCTGCCAGCTGCCTGTCTGCTGTGTCCCCATGTGGAGTGGATGTGTGGCTCCATCTCCAGCGGCTCGCCTTTACCTGCCATCTCACAGGCATGACCACTGCTGGGCTTCACAGGGAATGTGTCCCTCAAATGCCTAGCCTTAGGGACAGACTCCAAGCACACCTGTGTCCTCGTGGGGCCAGCATGGACTGGGCAGGTCATGCACACAGGGAAGAAGCCCTGGGGCCTGTAGGCTTCCAGGCCCATAGATGCTGCCTTCCACTTACATGTTCCCCAAGAAGGGGGCAACACCCCTTGCCCACACAAGGCTGAGGTGGCAGACACTGCCTCGGAAGGAATGTGCCAGTCTGTGCCAGCAGTTCCTCCCAGGAGGGCAGAGAAGCAGAAGGCACACAGCCAGTGGCAGCGAGCTGTCCTGGCTGCACCGGCTCGGGCTCCTGGGAGCAAGGGCAGGCGTGTGTCCACGCTGACCCTCGCCATCCGGCCCCTCCAAGCCCTACTCCCCAGCCTGGTTCCCCAACCCCAGCTCACATTGTCATCCTCCCTTCCAGACACTAGGGTCCCACCACCCCTCCTAGGTGGGCCTGATGCCAGCTGCCTGGGTCCCACACCTCACACCACTGCCCGGAGTAGAGCTGCTCCTCAGAGGTGTCAAGGGGAACAGTGATCCCCAGGCTGCAGCGGAGCCCCCGCAGGGGCTGCCAGCACAAGGACAGGGGCCTCTCAGCCCCACAGGTCACCCCAGGCACTTGCTCCAGCCCCCTGGAGGAGAAGCCCTTCCTGGCGAAGCACCAGGCAGGGGGTGTCTCAAGAAAGCACGGGAGCCCACTTCCATCAACTCTGGTTTTATTGAAAAACAGCAGCATTGGGGGCCATGCAGGCAGAGGGGCCACACTGCTCCTCTTCCTCCAGCAGCTCACACACCCACAGGAAGCCTGGGACCCCCCCCCCCACATCCCTGGCCCCACAGCCTGTCTCCACTGGAACTCGGCTTGCCACCCTCTCTGGGGCTGTTTTGGCACATCCTGGGGTCTCGGGACAGTTGCCAGTCATGGGCTCACGCACAGTGAACCACAGCAAGTGAAACCAGCCGCTGTGACATGCTCTGGGCTCACCCAAAGACAGCGTCCACAGCAGCCGTGGCCTGACAGCCCGACCCGGTGACTCCTGTCACCAAAGCTGATCCCGGCCAGTCTGGCTGTGTTGCCACCCCTGCTGCCCTCCTAACACACCCAGAGACCCAGGCAAAGACTCATGCAGGGTCCACCCCTTCATGCAGGCCCATCCAGTGCCCTCCACCAGCGGGGAAGGAGCATGGCATTCAGGGTCTGCTGGGCCCAGGGCACGCGTGGGAGAAGGCCAGGCAGTTTTGCAGCAGAGCTCAGAGCACGGCTACCCTCATGACCCTGCTGCTCAGCACAGGACTGTGGGGTTGCCTGTCCCTGTCAAGATCTCCTGGGCTGGAGCAGAAGGCCTTGGGCCACCAGGTTCCCTCCCTGTCACCACACACATGCACATACACACAGGCACGCAGACGCGCACACGCAGGCATGCAGACGCTCACACACTGCATGTACACGCAGATACACAGATGTGCGCACACATGCACACCGGCAGGCAAACACAGGCACACACCTTCTTCAAAATGGCTAATTATTGCTGTTAAAAAAAAATACATCCAACTGTAGTGGGTTGGGGCTCATCGTGCCACACACACCCCAGGCCCAGGGAAGCTTGTTATCAGCACCAAGAAGCTGACATGTCCAGGATCAGCCCAGAGCTCAAAGCCAAACACCGCAGCCAAAGGGCCACCAGCACAGGAGCATGAACCTGTGGCCAAAGCCAACTCACAGACAGAGCAGTAGAACTGCCACCCGCCTGGCTGGAGAGAGGCAGCAAGCTCCCAAGGCTCCTCGTGCCCTGGACACTGACGGGAAGGGGCCCCAACCTGGCCCTGGAGCCACGTGTGCCAGCTGCCCTGCAGCAGGCAGGGACAGGCGCCCGCACCACCTGTGACTGAGACCAGAGCCAGGCCCTATGGCCCAGAGAGGCTCCCAGGCGCTTGCCAAAGGAGCCACAAGGGACACCACTGCCCTGTCCCCTCTGAGGGCCTTCTCCAAGAAAAGACACCCAGTACAGGATGGGGGCCACCTTCGGACATCATGGCCTCAGGCCAGCTGCCCATAGGCCCCCAGCCCAAGCCCTCCCTCAATGCCAGCCCCAACCTTGCAGGGCAGGCTGGCCCCATCCGGTCAAGGACAGCAATGGGAGGCAGGGATGGACCTTGGTGGGCGGTGCCACCACAGGCCTTCCTGAGGCCAGACCACATGCAGACCACCTACCCTCAGGGGCCAGCCATCTGCACAGCCTGTGTCTGGGTGGTGGGGGCTGCCCTGGGGTGGCCTGCCAGCCACTGCCAGGTCTCTGGACCTGGGCTAGAGCTCTCAGCTGCCACAGATCCCACTGTCTATCAGTCTGTGTTCCAGACTCAGCTAAGGCATTCTGGAACACTCCACCTCCCACCTACCACTCCAAAAACAGAAGCTTCCAAGCAGACAACTAGTCCTGGGAGCCCAGAGCACAGGTGCCAGGCCCAGGGCTGGTTTTCTCTGGGCCTTGCCAAGTGGCCACTGGGGAGGGGCCTAGGTCCTGCCAATCCAGAGAAGCTGCCCAGACACAACTCTGAGCAGGACCCCAGAAGGATGCTTCACAGAGGTAGAAGTAATGTCAGAATTCTACAAATGTATAAAATTCACATCTCAGTGCATGTTTGTGGAGCAATAAGCTCCCAGGATGGAGGGAGGCAACCAGCAGGGGCCTCTCAGGGGCATGCTGGCCAAGGGCCCCAAGCCAGCTGCAGCCCTCGCCAGACACGCAGCCACCCTGCCACCCCTCCTGGCACCTCTCCGGGGCCTGGCAGCACAGAAGGGTGATAAGAAAGGTCGAGAGTCCAGTCAGTGTCCCGCCCCCAGGCTGTCCCACCAGGGGAGACGTGGCAGCCCACCCCACCTGCAGACCCCACGTGGACAGAGAGGCACCAGCAGGACGGGAGGTGGCCACACCACCGCCGGGACCAGCACCAGCGACTGCTGTGACCAACTGCAACCAGACTGGCGGCCCCGGAGCTGGGCTCCATCCTGGCCTCGGGGGGCGCCACCCCCGCGCCTGCCCCAGGACCAGCAGCTCCAAAGGCACAGGATCGAAGGAAGCAGGCAGCGTCCGCAGCTACCACCTGACAAGACATGACCCCTCCTGCCGACCCCGGTGCCCTTCCTGCCCAGCCAGCCTCAGACCAGCTGCAGCCCCCAACATGCCCCACACCACTAAGGCCGCCCCAAGCCAAAACCAAACCGAACCGAAAGAGGAAAAAGGCACAACTGTTTTCCATTTTGCTAAAACACTTTACGTCTGTCTGTATGATCCAGATTAACAAAATCTGAGAGCAGCAAGAAAATAGGGTGCCAATTTCTGTACAGTCTACAAAACTCCCATCCCCGAGTAGGGACCGGGCGCCTCCAGGGAGAATGTACAAGGGAGACTGGGGTCTGTACAGTGTTCTGCAAGTACCTCCGTTGCTGACCACACAAAGGGCCCCTCAGGAAACCGGGCTTGTTTCATTCATTTGCAAACTTCCAAAGTGCCTTTTTAAGAAATCCTTTCCGTGGACCCACACTCAGAAGCCAGCTCAGGGGCCCACTGCACCTGCCATTCCCCACCAAACCCCAAATAAAGGGGTCTCCACAGGCATTTATTCCTCTCTGGCTGAGGCAGCCAGGCCAGGCTCACGGCTGGGTGTGCGAGCGCTGCGGAGCAGCCCTTCCCCCTCGGCCTCCAAGCCACCCCACACCGTGCCTGCCTCCAGCCTCCAGAGCACAGGGCAACCGCCTGTCCCCCACTGGGAGCTACAGGGAACTTGCTCCCTTCCAGATGGGGGTGGCCCGGAGCCTCCTCACAAACCAGGAATGCTCTTTGGGGGGAACTTAGGCTAAATCAGGGTCTCCCTCCAGATTTCAACCTCCACCCACCCGGCCACCCACTCCCACCAAACTGGGCCAGAAATAGTGCATATTCTAGACCACACAGATGTGTGTGTGTGTTAAGGTATAAACTACCGTTTTGTCCCAAGAAAGTCATGCAGAGTGCTATTCTGTCTAAATAACTTATTAAAAAATAGGTTGGTTCCAGGCTGGGAAAAGCGGTAGGCTCAGTGGTATAGGCAGCAGCCTGCGTCAGTAAGACTCACAGGGCAGAGCCCATCAGCCGTGGGTGGGGAGGTCTGGCTGCTGGGGGAGCTGTGGCCCGGCAGCTGTCGCCCCACCCCTGCTCTCCAGAAGGGCCCTGACCACAGCTGGGCAACAGGCCGCTCTGGGAACCACACCTGGCAATATGCCGATCAACAAAGCCCGGACGGTGGGGCGGGGACCAATGGGAAAAGGGGACAGATGTCAAAGCAGAGCTGAACCGGGTGAGGCAAGGGGTGGCGTGAGGCGATCAGGCCCTCCAGAATGCAGGCAGGCCACCGGTGGCGAGCGCAGGGCCGGAGCAGGGCAGGGGTGCTGACAGTCCGGGGCAGCCGACGGGAGCTGAGGGCATGCGGCATGCTGCAGCCAGGCCACATCCTCAGCATGCACACAGCAAAGCAGGGCCCACGGCCAGCTCAGCACCCCACGAGGCAGTGGCCGGCCAGCCCAGCACACCACGCCTCCCAGGGACCAGTGGCTGAGCCGTAGCCTGGCTGGCTAGTGGCCAGGGGCCTGCCAGGCGGGGGCCTCACAGCAGAGCTTCTGTGCTTGGTGGGCAAGGCTGGGCCTGCCCCAGAAGCAGTGGGCCAGAGGGGGTCCCTCCAGCCAGGGCTGGGCAGCCGGGTGGGTACGCGGTGGTCCATGCTGTCACTCTTCAGGCCGTGGCCCTAGCAGGCCGGGCAGAGTGAGGTGCTGTGGCTGTGAACAACCCACCCTGCGAAGTGGCACGGATAAGCGACAGCCCCACTGCCCGAGAACCAGCCAGAGAACCACGTGATGTTGAAAAGGAAAAACCCAACACAGACACCAAGGCGAGCGTCTGAAAGCGGCCTGGGCAGCGGGCAGTCACTCCTCACGCAGCTGTAGGCGGTAACGGTGGTAACGGACCTGGAAGAAGAGGCGTTCAGCCAGCGAGAGGGTCATGCCGGGCAGCACGTAGTGGTCGCTGGAGCCCATGTGTCTGAAGCCCAGCGACTCGTACAGCTTGTGGGCGGCCACCTTGACGGCTGTCGTGCCCAATACCACCGCAGAGTAGTCGTGCGCCAGAGCAAACTCCAGCACCTTGCGGCCCAGTGCCTTGGCGATGCCCTTGCCGCGGAAGCGTGAGTCCACAGACATGCGCAGCAACTCCACCGTGTTGTCCGCCTCGTGGGCCCGCGCCGCCACGATGCCCACCACACTGCCATCCAGCACAGCCACCCAGAAGCAGGAGCCTGTGGGAACAGGGTGGTCAGGGCTCTGGTGCTGCCACGTGGCAGCTGCTCCCCGCCACACAGAACCCACAGCAGCCCTGGGGTGGCCCGACGCTGGGCCCCTCCCGCAGGAACCAAGAGCTGGGCAGGCCTCAGCCAAGCAGGCCCGGCTACCCCAGGCCAAACGCCTGGATAGCCATGACAACCTGGCACAGGCCACAGGTGCAGCGGCCTGCCCTGGCTCTTGTCACCCCCTTGTCACTTGTGTCCACACCAGGGATCTGGGGACAGAGGTGGATGCCATGATGAAGCATCCAGAAGGACCCCTACAACGAAGGCTGATGGCTGGGCCAGGGCCCCCTCTGAGAGCCACAATGCCAGGAGCCTCACAGGCGCCTCAGCAGCCTCTGGCTCTGTCGGCCTGTGGCCTCCACTCTCCTGGTCAGGGGCTGCAGGGCCTGTGACCCTTGTGGCCTGTGTGTCAGGACACAGAGGGGGCCCCTGGAAGGCTTGGGGGAAGTCTGTATAGAGAACATTTCAGAAAACCAAGTGGGGACCCCAGGACGGCAGTGGGCACCACTACACACCCCTCTAACTCTGGCCTCTCCTGGGCAGCCAGCCTGGTGGCCAGGCAGCCTGGTGGCCACCAACCACAGCCCGGGCAGGGCAGGAGGAGCTGCGGGAAGACCACAGGGGAGGGAGGGGAGAGGCCTGTGGGCACAGGCCAAGGGGAGAGCCCACTACCAGGGGCCCGCTCCGCGCACACCCTGCCTGCAGCTGCCCCAACCCCATGGCCGCAGCCTCGCACCAGCCAGCCCCCATGCCGCGCACCCAGGCCTCCCTCGTGAGCAGCCACTGTCCCTCCCAGAAGACAGTCCTCACACGCTGCCCGGCCTGTCTGTCTGCCTTCTGCCTGCATAAGCGCCATGTGCCCCGAGAGCTGGCATGTGGCCACAGGGGCGCGAGGCCTCTGCCCCTGACAGCTCCCCGCCACCAGCTGGCCTGCCTGCCTGCCGGGAGGGGGCCCTGGCTCTCCCCACCCACCAGGGCCACCCAGTTTCTCCACTGCCTGAGCAGCCCCATCAGCAGCTGCCCAGCCTCTCTGCCACTGTGGGGTCCCCCTGCAGATCCAGCAGCTGCCCCAGGAGGGGCAAGCAGGGTCCCCACCCCCACCTCACACCCAGGGAGACTGCAGCCCAGCGAGCCACCAGCAGGGGCCTTGTGCCACACCCAGCCCACTCCCTATGTTACGGCAGCCAGGTTGCAACACCACCCAGGTGGCCTCACCCTTTTGGCCCCTACTGTCCCAGGCAAGGCCAGGCTGAAGCTCCGGCTCCACGGAGGCTATAAGATGCTGTGTTCAGGCTCAGAAAAAGGTTGAGGAGAGCCAAAGGTGCCCAGTGCCGGCCAGGCAGCTGTTGGGGGACAGAGTGAGGGTGGGGGCAGGACTGGCCACCAAGAGGAGAAGCTGGCGTGGCTGGATCAGGTGGCACAGGAGCTGTCAGTACCAGCATGGGTCACCCTTGCCCTGGGACCCCTCACCTCTTGTCCCCTGCTCTCTTCCCTGGCACTCACCAGGTTCCTGCTAGACCCAAAACAAACATTCAGGCCCACCCTGTCCCCTCTCCTCGGCCTGGGGACCCTCTAGCATCTGGGAGACCTTGCATCCTACAGGCTTCCTCCTCTGCCTCTGGGCATGGAGAAAACCACATGTCCCTGCCTCCCAGGACCTAGCCTGCCTGGGGGCCAGCCTGGAGGACAGAGCACAGCTTCTCCGGACCAGATCCCCTTCTACTACGGAAGGACAGGAGGCTGCAGAGAGCTCCCTCCAGCTAAGTGGTCCAAAGACCAGAAGTGTAGGCCAAGACACAAGACATTTGCTCCCCTAGGGTTCTCATCTCCCCAGTGACCTCTGCCCTTCCCCGAGTCCTCTCCCGACCACGGGGTTCTCTCCTCTGGCACACAGGCCTCCTCCACAGGGCTCTGGCACTCCAGGCCAGCCCCGCATCCAGCAAGTCACCCCAGGCAGGGCCAACAAGACGCAAAGAAGGCCCCTGCCCCTCTGGAGGGCCAGGAAAGGGCGTGGTCAGCACAAAGAGCAGGGCCAGGACACCACTGCCCAGGGCTGCTCAGGTCACTCAGCACTCCACACTCAGGGAGAGCAGGACAGAGGCCCAGACCCAGGCGGGGGGCCTTGCGTCAGCCCCAAGGACCTGGCGCTGCCTCTCCTTATCCTTGCCAGCCCACTGCACCCCCACCCTTTCCCAGAGCCCTGTCACCCAGAAGGCTGGGACCACAGGGTGCCCTCCCCCAGGCCTGCCCTGAGGATGTTGGAGTGACCCCAGCTGCCGGAGGAGGCTGGAGAGAGGACAGAAGGGACAAAGGGGAGGAGAGGAAGAGGCTGCAGACCCCAGGGACTCACCAGGGGGCTTCATGTAGTACTGCTCGATGTCAGCCATGTCTGTGTGCAATGCGCAGTCCAGGTAGGCGAGGACCACCTTGCGGCTGTAGTAGTAACGCAGGCCCAGCAGCCCGGCAGGCACCAGGCAGGTGAGCAGCAGCGAGCGGGTCAGGGCAAAGCAGAGCACTGCGGGAGAGGGGCACCGTAAGCCAGCGCCCCCGGCAGGCCCTCCGCAGACTGGGTGCAGGACCCCCAGGACACCGGGAGGGGGCCACACGGAGCCCCACACCCTGCCCGTAATGAGCCGCTCAGGGTCACGTGCAGAGGAGGGGCCTGTTGGGCCGCCGCGGCTGCCCCCTGCCGCTTTCCCTGTGGTCAAACTTCCTGCCACCAGGACTGCTACCTCTACGGCCTGAACAGCGGATTTCTGCCTCCGAGGGCAATAGTGGCCTCTGGGCAGGCTGCGCGTCAGCAGGACCAGCCCCAGGCGGGGCTCCTGGGGGATGACCCAAGCCACCACCCCTGTGGTCCCTCAGCTGGGGAAGGGGCTTTGTCCACTCCAGCCTGGGGTCGGGAGCCAAGGAGCTGCGCGGGCAGGCCCTCCCTTGGGAAGTGGGGGACCCTAGGTGGGACACTGCCTGGGCCGGCCCCTGGAAGTTGTTGGACAGGGACAAGGAGGGAGGTCCAAGACTGCCCCAGACACACCTGGGGCCGCCCGGGACGCAGACCCTGGCCTCGGCTGCGTGACCTTGGGAAAAACGCGCCCCTCCCCCCTCCTCACTCCATCTGTGAAATGGGGAGAACCGCCTTCCCGCGGGGGCTTCGGAGTAAAGGTCTGAAACACCTGCGGGGGCTGCCTGCCCTAAGAGCCGGCTGCCCCCTCGGCCCCCTGGCTCTGCGTCCTCCGTGCACACCTCCCCCGGCACCCCGGGCAGCTGGCTGCGTCCCCTCATAAATTAGCACTTGGAGCCGCGAAGCAGCCTCCCCCGCCCCGAGATTATATATAGTTCCACGCGCCAGGCGCCGAGCCCCAGCCGCGGGCGCTACCTGCCGCCACCCCGCCCCCACTCGCCACGGCCGGGAGGGGCCCCGAGAGGTGGGGCGGCCGGAGAGGGGACGCAGGTGGAGACCCTGGTTCTCCCCGCCCGCGGCGCCGACCCTCGGCCCGCGCTCGTTCCCACGCCCCCGCAGCGCGCCCTGGCCCGTGGCCCGCGCCGGCCCCCCTGCTGGTGGCCTCCTCGCCCGGGGCCGCCGCGGAAATTGGTGGGCGCACGGGTGCGTGTCCGTGCGAGGGGCGTGTGGGGCTTCTCTTCTTTCCCCAGCGGAGTCCCGCTCAGGGACAGGAGCGCAGCCCCAGCCCGGCCCCGAGGTGGAGCCAGCGGGACGGAGGGACCCGAGCGTTTGTCCCCAGAGGGGCGGCGGGCGAGGACTGCGGCAGGCGGAGCGCGGGGAATCCGCGGGCTGCGCCCGGCCCGGCCGCGAGTCCCCGTCCCCCACGGGGTCCCCGCGCACTGACCGGCCAGCAGGGCGTAGAGCAGCTGCGTGCGCGGGTGCTGCCGCAGGCCGCGGAAGGCCGTGTTGGGGATGCGCTCCATGATGCCGTCGTAGAAGATGCGGCGCGCCGCATCCTGCTCGGCCGCGCGGAACTCGCGGATGTACACGCCGCGCCCCCCCGGAGGCTCCGCGCCCCCAGCTCCGCCGCAGGGCTGGGGGCCGGGCGCGGGCGGGGGCGCGGAGGGCGCCGCGGCCGGCCCGGGCGCGGCTGGCAGCGGGGGCCACATGGCGCCGGCAGCGGCGAGAAGCGCGTCCTTCTTGGCCCCTGGCAGCGCCTCATGGTCCTCGGCGGCCACGATCTTCGTCTCGCAGACCATGTCTGGAGGCCCACAATGCATGCACCCGGCCGCGCGGCGCAGCGCAGGGACGCGGGCCGGGCTGCGGGCGGGCACAGCCCGGGCCCAAGACAAGGGCGCGGCGCCCTCGGACCGGCGGCGGCGGCGGCGGCGGCGGCGGCTCAGGGGCGCGGGGCGGAGGCGGCGGGCGGCCGGGGCGCGCGCTGGGAGCTGCGCCGCATTTTGGAGAAGTATTTATAATGCAGCGGCGCCGGTGCAGTCGCGGCGCCTGGGGTCCCGCAGGGTCCTAGCGTCCACTGCATTGGCTGCCGAGGGTCACCATGTGATCTCGGGGGTGGGAGCAGACGCCGCCTCCTTGCCAGCCCGATGGCACACTAGGGTGCTGCGACAAGGCCGGCGCGGGCTGCTGGCGGGAGTGCGCTCGGGCGGGGGCGGCCCAGGGCGCGACGGGATGACCGAGCCCAGCGAGGTGGCCGAGGCCCGGAGATCGCGCGGTCGGGGCTCCTGGCCCAGAAGGGGCGCTCCGTGGGGCTCGGAGCAGGGCGCCTCCCGCCCGGTCCCTGCACCCCCGCCTCTCAGCGCGGGTCTCGGAGCGCTGGGCTGGGGCCGGGCCGCCGGAACCCGCAGCGCGCGTCCTTCTCTTTGGCCGCCGGGCGCAGTCACGGAAGCATCTCCATACCTATCTCCGTCTCCCGCCCCTTTGTCTGAAAGCAGGGCCCGGCCGGGGCCCTTGGGGAGGGGGCGTCGCGGGTTCCTGGCCGGCGCCCCTGGGAACCTGAGCGCGGGGTCGCGGTCTGAGCCGGCTCTGATGCCCACGTCGCTCGCAGCCTGCTGCGTCCTGGCGCACCGCGGCGACCCCCAGCTGCCTGGATCCCCTCTGACCGCACGCGGGATGTGGGGCCCACAGGACCCCTCCCGGCCTGGTCCGCGCCCCCGCCCTCCGCGGCCCGCGCATGCGCCCCACTATCTCGGTGCAGGTGCAGGGGGTGCTCTCTCCGCGTCCTCCCGATTCCTCCCGATCCCCGCGAACCCAACCTGCAGACGCCGCAGGCCGGGGACCTGGATGGGGAGGTGGGGAGGAGGTGAGAGGACCGGTTTGTCCCAGACCCTGCCCCCAGCACTGTTGGAATCCAGCCCCCTGCAGCTCTGCACCTCCTTCCCCACATCACCCCCCATTCCCCGTGGATGACCCCGCAGGGCAGCCTGGCGCTGAGCTCATCATGCCCCTGCGGGTGGGACCGGGCCTAGGGGACCAGGCCCAAGGATCCTCAGCCCTTGTTGAGGCCCAGGGTCACCTGGAGGCCAGGAAGGGGACTTCCCTCCGCTGGCGTCACACTAAGGCACCCAGGTGGAGTGGAGAGAAGGGAGGGCTGCAGTCCCATGAGCTGACCTGCTGCACAGCCAGAGCCGCCAGTGACAGGGCCGTGGGGAGAGGGGCAGCGAAGCTGGGAAGTCACACCGTGTTGGTCTGTGGCCTGGCTGTGACCTTCCAAGGGAGCGAAGTGGAAACAAGGAACATCCTGGAGAAACTCAGGTCCATTCAGAACCCCTTCCGCCTGTTGCCTGAGTACTGCAGAGGCCCCTGACCAGCCGCAGGGAGACCAGCCTCCCCAGCGTCCTGAGGGTGGCCAGGGGGATGGCAGGAGCCTCCCAGCAAAGCCAACATGCAAGGCAGCCATGCAGAAAAAAACAGGAATAGGGGGCCCGGGGTAGGGGGATGGCTTGCCTGGAGGAGTCAAGGGGCTTCAGAAGTAGGGAAGGCCGGGCTTTGAATGTAAGCCTTGAACAGAGCCCCAAATCAGGGATTTGGGGAACAATTTATCATGCCCAGTGACGGGGGCCAGGAAAGAGGAGAACCAGGCCCACTGTCCAGGAGCTCTTGGGCAGTGTCCTGACCCCTGGCCACAGACTTGGTGTGAAGGGGCCCCTCAGAGCAAGTGGCCTAGTCCACACAGGGCCACAGCCTCTGCTGGCTACTACCCACCCACATCACTACCCAAACCCTGGAACAGCCAGGCCCAGGGATGGAGGCAGAGGCCTTGGTGAGCCCGAGGTTCTCCATCTGCAGAGGTCTCTCCCTCGAGGTCGCCTGACCTCATGCTGCAGCCCCCACCAGCCCTGGGCCCATGAGGGCCTGGCTAGCCCAGGGCTCCAGCATGGGTGCAGAGGGGCCTGGACAGTGCCAGGGAGAGTGTGGAGGGGCAGGGCTGGACCCAGGGACAACCACCTGGAAGGTCTTGTGACATCAGGGCCTGGGCTTTAATGCACAGGGAGTCACGGCAGCCTGGAAGGGGGAGGCTGGTCAGGCAGCAGGGCAGTCCCAGGCCCTGCCGTCCGGCCTGTTCCCCCCTGGGTGCCCCCCTCAGCCACACCAACCCCGCCTGACCACCAAGTCCAAGTCCTGCCCACTCCCTGGCTTCTGCTGCCCCAGTTCCCCCGCTGTTCCCTCCTAGCCCCAACACCACAGCCTGCACTTGCGGGGCCCAGAGGAGGGGGTGTGCTCAGAGAGAGACCCCTCCCAGATTCCAGAGGCCAGAGTGGGCAGGGGGTGTGGGGAGGGTGGTTCACTAGCAGCACAGACCCCACCCCAGGTGTAGAAGGACCCACAGGCCCACCCAGGGATCCTCACGGGGTCTCCTCTGAGACTGTGGGTGGGGGCGGCCTATCCCCGATGGAGGAACCGGAGAAACGGGCAACTGAGCGCCGAGCTGCAAGGGTCAGGGTGATGGGACTGGGTAGGACGACAGAGGCGGGTGGGGACTGCGGGACAAAGTCTGAGAGTCTCCCGAGTGAAACAAATGGCCAGGAGATGGGAAAAAGAGAAGCAAGCAGATGAGAAGCTCTGTGTATGACACAGGAGCCCCTCGAAGGGGAAAGGAGGGCCAATGACCGGGTAAGAGTGACTTCTGGTGCCGTTTCCCCAAGCCGAAGGCCAGGCTGGACCCAAGGGCAGAAGGGTGAGAAGCTCCTGGCCGACGGCTGCCAGCAGCAGAGGCACTTCCCCTGAGCCCACCACCCGGCACCACCTGCCGCTGCACAAGGCCGGGTGAGTGCCCTCTTTTGCCCTGAGGAGAGAGAACTCAGCTCTGCTGTCCGGGAGCTTCACAGTCCCACAGCAGGAGGGACACAGGAAATGAACTAATGCACCAGCTACTCTAGTGTCCCTTAGGGACAAAGGAAAGGAAGGTGGCATGACAGGCTGAAGAGGGAGGCAGGGGGTGAAAGAGGCCAAGTGGGTAGGAGAGGGGACAGCATGTGCAAAGGCCCTGAGGTGGACGGGGTGGCGGGGGAGGCTATGAACAGAATGTGCCAGCAAAAGATACTTTCAGACAGGCCAGCTCAGAAAGTTTACATGCCACACTGTTTTCTAGGAAGCGACTTGCAGACATGCAACAGGGAGATGGCATGGGGTCTAGGAGCCAGGGGCTCCCCACTGGAAGAGTGAAGGGTGGACAGTGGGCGATGGGAATCCCGCTGGCTGGGGAGGGGAGAACTAGGCCCCTGCAGGGGATATGGGGGGAGTAGCCTGACTGCTGGAGAGTATGAGGATGTGCTAAAGGCAGGCAGCATGGAGAAGGCAAATGTGAAGTCCAGGTGCAGCAAAAGCTGTCCTAAAGGCCATGACTTCCTAGCTCAGCGCTTAGCCCAGCAGGGAATTGTTACATGGAGTCATGAGAGATCCGCTGGGCTGAATCAGCCCACAGGCCGGCAGGAAAGCAGAACCCCAGCTCCAGGGCAGAACCTGAAGCCGCTGCCTTGACCAAATGCAAACACAAGGCTCATCTGCTCACAAGAGCTCTCCACACCTCTGCTCTGCACCCATGAGCCCCATTCATGCCTTCCCCACCCCCAGCTCACCTGCTCCACCAAATCCAATGGTCCAGTCTTGGCCCCTGCTTGCCATCAGCAGCGAGTGACACACTGATGGATCCCTTCCTCCCAAAGCCCTCTCAGCCCACTTCTCCCCGTGCCCTGTGGCTGCCCCACCTCACCTGGGGGGCCAACACGCCCTGCCCCTCGGCACTTGTCTGCACTCCGGTGGGCCCAGGCCCCCAGCCCCCTTTCCATGTGTACGTGTCTAGTCGCCTCCTGGACCTCTGCCCAGACATCTAGAGCACACCTCAAGACTGGTGTGGCACTGACCTGTCCTTCCCTCTTCCCAACTCCGTCCCCTCCTCCCATCCTCTCAAAACCCACCCACAAGGGGCAATCCCTGCTGGCTCCACTTTCAAACACACTGGAATCCAGTTGCTTCTCACCTACCACGCCCCCCAGCACCCCCTCAGCTCTGAGGGCTGCATCACTTCCTCACCACCCTGGTTATGTCCTTGCCCTCCCAGAACGCAGCCTCACCCAGCAGCCAGGGTCCTATTCAGACCTTAGACCGGCCCTGCCTGCTCAGAATCCTCAAGGCTTCCACCGGGGCCCTCTCAATCGCTGTCCCCACGCCCAAGACCGCACACCATGCCCCATGGCCGCAGGGCCACTACCGGGGACCAGGCACAGCAGCCGCCACCCTGGCCCTCAGCCTGCTGCTCCACACCCTGCCCGCTGGGCTGTGTCCTCCCTTGCAAAGGGCACTTCCTGCAGAGGCTACGACAAGCACTCAGGTGGCCTCACCTGTTACAGTAACAGAAACCCCAACTGCACCAGGGCTCATGGCGGCCCAGTACAGGGTGCCAAAATTTAAATTTTGGACAAACAAGTAATCTTTAGTTTAAACATGTGCTTATATTGCAGGGGACTTAATACTAAAATGTACTAAAGCTACTTGTACACTGTATACTATGCACTGGCCCTCTATCTGTATTTGCTAAATCTGGCAACCTAAGCCCAGAACACAGGCTGTATCCCTTGCCACTGGAATAGCCATGTGACTGAGGCCGACCAATGGGACCAATGCTTACGCCCTCTGGGCCATGCTCCTAGTGGGAAGGCACCTGCGCCCACACCTCTGGGCTCCTTTCTGGGGCCCCAGGCCAGAATTCTGGTCCTTGCCACTGCACCCCACCCCTTCCCAGGCCCAAGGCCAGCCTAGGCTGCCATGGCTTCAGCAACCTCCCCACCTCTCTGTGGCCTTTTGAGCTCACAGCCATCACTGCCTCCAGTATCTAGCTCAGCCTCCCACCACAACCAAGATAGGACTCTGGTTTGTGCACGGAGGCCCTTACACCTGATGGACACATGCAAGCTGGCACATCTGGGCAGAAAAGCATTGAGGACAGGACAGGTCAATGTTGGTGGGCTAGTGGGAGTGGTGGCAGGTCCTGCAGAGCTCAGGAGCCTGGAGCAGCAGCTGAGTAGGTATCTGCGTACATTTCACAAAGGCTTGGGGACAGTCCATGATGGGGATTGTGAGCTCAGCTTGGGGCAGCAGACCGGAAGTGCGGGGGAACCAGGCCACCCGCTGAGGCAGCCACACTAGGAGCTCAAGCCCCCGGGGCCTAAAGGCCCTCCAGCAGGCACTCACAGTCGCAGTCCTACTGTGTTCCTGGGTGTTACAAAGCTTTGCTTTGGTTAATAACATCCATGGAATAAGAAAGGAGGGAGGAAAGATTGCCTGCTTCACCTGCAGGCACTGTGCACACACATGTGGATGTGACTGTGGCTGCCCGCTGGCGTGATGCCTGCCTTCAGGCCCAGGTCCCCACCCAGGAGTCCCTGGTGCCCAGGAGGGAGCCAACAGGCAGAGCAGAGGTCCTGGTCCTTGCCCTGCCTTCCCTGGGCTGCCCTCCTGCCACCTCCTCCCTTCCTCTCTGGCAGCCTGGGGCTCCTCAACCATAGCAGGCTCAGCTTTGTGGGGTCCACCGGCTGGGCCTCCATGGAGTCCCCCACCACAGGCCTCCCCACTGCAGTGCAGAGGAGCCTGGGGGCATTCAGCGCTGGAGCAGCTGCTCCATTGGATTAGACCAGCTTTTACATTCCCTCAACCTCAAAACAAGGGCAGGCGAGCAAGAGAACAGGTCCCTGGGTCCACAGACCCAGTGCCTGTGGGTCCAGGTCCACACATGTGGCTGGACACACCTATGTTCTTAGCAATGGTGCGGGCGTGGAACATGTGCCAGAGGGTCTCAGCCCATAAGACAGCTGGGAAAACCAAGGCCCAGACAGGGCCCCAACCAGGGTCTCCTGGGGATGACACACATGGGCTCCAGTGGCCAGAGCAGGGAGACAGGACACAGGCTTCGGGGCCGGGTTTTTATTGATGAGGGAGAGTTGGCTGAGGGTTCTCAGCGCCCAGGGGGCCAGCAGGCACACAGAGCCCGGCGTTCTGCCTGCAGCAGGAGGGTCTCCGTCTGCAAAGCAACAAGGAGCCATGAGGGGCCATGAGCGACCCCCATCCCCCCAGGCACTCCATTTCCTGGGTTACCCCAAAACCTACTGGCAGGCTCCTGAGACCCTGTGATAACCTAGCCCCAGTCCCCAAGCACAGGCCACCCTCTGCAGCCCAGGCCCCTCCCCTCCTGCCCACCCGCCCACTCCTGGCTGGAATAGGCCCCCACCACCACCAGGGCAGTTCTACTTTGGGGTCCCATGCTGATCCCCACTCTGCTGCTGTGCCCCTCTCAAGGCCCTCTCCGCCCTCTAACACTACACCCTAATCCCCAGGGGTGGCTGGGAGCTGTTCTTCTTAGGGCCCGGCTCCTCAATGAGATTAAGGCCCCTCAGCCCTCTATCTGAGCCCTTCAAAATTGGCCAGAAAAGGGGAACCGGTTGGGGTATCCCCTTCCTTCCATTTCTGGGAATTCTCTCCCTTTTCCAGAAGGAATACACATCTCTGTCGTAAGTGAAAATCCCCTTGGCTGGGACACAGAAAGGGTGTTGGGGGGATCAATGTTCATTCCCTATTTGGGGGAATGCCCCTGGCCCATGCCATGCATCCAGCCCTCCCAAGGGACTGCCCTTCCCAAGCTGACCTTCCCTGCCCCACACTCCTTCCTGACCCAGAGAAAAGGAGCAGCTCTCCCCCCTCCCTCAGTTTCCTTTCTGCCTGCTGGACCTTATCATCCCACGTGGGTACTGCTGGATTGGGACTGGCATCCTCAGGGCCAGGCTGGGGGTCACAGGGAAGCGTCCAACGAGAAGGGGTTTGGAAACAGTGAGCAGGGCATTTGAAGGGGGTACTCAAGGCCGAGACGTATGCGGGAATGTCCGTCGTATAACAAGCCAGGTAAGGGCGGCAGGATGCCAGTGCTGGGCATGGGGAGACTGGCTGGTCCCTCCCCCCACCCACCTGGGGCGGGGGCTCACCCGCGCGTCCAGGCTGTAGGCCGTCTTCCGCAGGTCCTGCAGGGCGCGCTGCATGAACTCGAACGCGTGACAGTCCACGCACGGGCGGCCTGCGGGGGCGCGGATCGGGCTGTTGGGGGCGCGCACAGCCCCGCCTCACCCAGCACCACCCAGCGAGGGGACTGCCTGGGAGTCAGGCTGCGGGAGGGATGCGGGACCGCCTAGGAACAAAGGGGGCGCGGTCCTCCAGCACGCCGGGTAGGCGCAGTGCCCCGCAACCCTCGGCGACACGTACTCTGCGCGGGGACGGCTCTCCCGGCGGCGGGCTCTGCGCGGGTCTGGGCGCCCAGCAGCGCGACGCTCAGCAGCAGCAGAACTGGCAGCAGCCGCGGCGGCCTCCTCGGGGGCCTGCACGGCGGCGGGGGCGCCATGGCCGAGCGGAGGGAGCCGGGCCGCCCTGCAGCGAGCCGCGGGGTTCAGCGGCGCCGGACCCCGCCCGGCCCCGGCCCCGCAACCATCCGCCGCGCCTCGGGACCTGCACCCCCCGCCCGGGCCCGCGATGATCCCCCTCAGCCGCGGGCCCTCGAGCCCCCCAATCCGCCCCCGGGTCCCCAAACCCCCAACCCACCCCTGGATCCGCGAATCCCCAAAACCGTCCCCGGCCCACGAACTCCCACCCGACCCCGGGCCCCACGAACCCCACCCCGCCCTCACCGCGGTTCAGGAGCCCCGCGACAGCCGCGCGCGCGATTCGGGAAGACGTGCTGCGTGCCGCACGCACTGCGCATGCGCCCCGGCCGGACCTCGCCCGGATCCCCCATCCGAAGTAGTCGTCATGGAAACCCCGAGACCGCGCGAGCCTCCAGTTTAAAGGGACCGAGGGGGCTCCAAGACTCCGTGTGTCTAGCCCGGCACAGTCCAGGACAACGGGCGATGGAGGCGGGAGGACTGCCCGAAGGAGGCGGTGTCTGGGCGGAACCTCTAGAGCCGCTGCGGGCGGGAGTAAAGCAATACTCGGCTAGAGCCTCGTGGCGCTGGGGCCTGGGGTGGCCCTGGGCGGATCCGCAGGCTGCGGTCGATGCACGCGAGGGGCTGGGAGGCTACTGAAAGCGAAGGTACGGTCCCCGCACGCCCCTGGCCGGCGGGGTCCAGGCAGGTGGGCTCCCGGCGGAGGTCTGCCCCCCTCTGCTCCGCAGGCTGGCCGGGCCTTGTCCTGGCCTCAGGCGAGAGGGGCCGGGAGATTCCCACCCGCCTGCCCGGCCTCTCTCTCCGCCCCTCTCCGCCCCCCGCACCCCAGCCTAGAGGTCCCCGCTCTGTGACTTCGGGGGGAGAGCTTGGCTTCTCTGTGCCCCTTGCCCAGTTCGGCCTCCCGTGAACGAACAGGGTTGTTGGAAATAACCTAGTGGGCGCCGGAGGCGCGCGGATGCCGGGTCACCTTTGGGCCCAGCCCACGCGGCGGGGAGGCCCCCTCATCTTAGAAGAATGGTCGCTCTTGGCGTCTGCTTGGTCTCTACGAGGCCCGGAGCCCACGCAGAGGCCGCGACCTGCGGGGCAGCGCCAGGTTCCCCTCCTGGCGGGCGGTGCCGAGCCCAGCCCCTCCGGCCCAGCCCCGGACCTGGGGCCGGGTGCCGCCCAGGCACGGGACGCGGATGTCCGCGGCCCCGGCCGGACGCGGGTTTCCTGACCCAGAGAAGGCGGCGGCGCTCGTGGCCGCCACTCTGGTTCAGGCAGACGCCGGGCCGAGCGTCCGGCCCAGCCTCGGGCCCTCGCGGACAGGGCCGCACTGCAGCCCCGGCCTGGGCGGGGAGGGGGGTCCAGAGGTGCGCGCAGGCCCCGAGGGGTTAGGTGCCTGCGGGCCGGGTTCCCGGACGTGCGCATTTCCGCGCCCTTTACCCGGAGCCCCACGCCCAGGGCGCGCGGTCACGGCCACAGGTGGAGCGGGAAGCGGAGCCAGCCGGCCTGGCGCCCGCAGCGCAGCAGGCAGAGCCCTGCGGCCACTTGGTCGGGACGCGCGCTCCCGAGACGCCACAAGACACTGGCTTTTTTTCTGCTTGCCGGTTCCATGCCGCCCCAAGCTAGTGACCGGCGCCCGTGCCTCGCTCCCCGCCCGCCCGCGCCGCCTCGTCCTTGTGCGGATGGGGAACCGGCCCATCCCAGAAGTAAGGCCCCGGCTAGACCTCAGGCGGCCGGTACTGTGCAGCCGCGCTTCTTCCCCCCGACCCCGCAGCGCTGCAGACCCAAGTGCGTCCTGATAGGAAGTGGCCGCTGGTCCGCTGCGTCTCCGAGGTCCGGAGAGCACCCGGCTGGTGCCCCCCTGGCACCCCCGGTCCATCAGCGCGCCCCTTCTCCCACTTGCCCCGCGCCCCGGGATCCTCTCCTTACGGCTCATGTCGTCCCACAGGCCAAGCTGACCATCCCTGCCCTCCACACACCCTCGAGCCCCTGGCCGCGCCCTCGCCACGACCGTGCGCCCTACCGAGGGGACCGCGCCGCCGCCGCCGCCGCGGAGCCGCTGGATGTCGCGGGAGGGCGCTGGGCGGTCACGGGGCTGTCGGGGTCCTGCGTGCGGGAGCCAGGTGCCCCCCGCCCCACCGCCGGGGCTGGTGTCCCCCCGCCCCGGCCCGCCTTCCTCCGCTTCCCGGGCGCCCAGGATTTTCCCTCTCCCGTGGTCCTTCTCTTCGGCAAACGGGCTGGTTTCTTTCACACCCAAACGAAACGGACTTCCGCGCCCGCAGCCCCCGCACCTCCCCTCGCTGTCCAGTTCCTTTGATATGCACCACATCTTTATCCATTCATCCATCCATGGGCATTTAGGTTGCTTCCATGTCTTGCTATTGTGAATAATGCTGCAGTGAACATGGGGGTTCAGATCTCTTTCCGAGATAGTGGTTTAGTTTCCCCCCACCGAGCCCGCTCCTGCCCCGCCGCGCCCTTGAGCTGCCCTGGCCCACCCGCAGACCCCAGGGACCAGTCCACAGACCTCCCACGTGCCATCAGCGGCGCGAGGTCCCCCCCCTCCGCGCTGCACGGTGCCCCTTCGCGGCGCTGCCAGGCAGGCCTCTGCGCCCGCCTCTGCAGGGCCACGTCTTGGGCCTCTTCTCCACCTACACCCCATCCTTTGTGACTGAACTCAACTGCGGTTGTGAAGGCCAGCCGTGTAGCTCCAGGTTCGCGTGTCCAGCTGCCCGCACATCTCCACTAGGAGAAGAGGCCTCAAAGACAGGCAGCCCAACACGGAGCTAACGTCACCCTCCACTGCCGCCGCTCCCCCGGAAAACTCAGCGCTGCCCACAGCTTTACCCCTCTCGGCGGAGGGCCGTGCATCCCTGCAGATGCTCAGAGGAAACCCACGTTCACCCCCTCGGAAATCCTGGCTGCTCACACTCAGAGCCACCAGCATCTCTCTCCCGCGCCTGCTGCCCTCACCCGGGTCCTCCACCGTGCAGTCTCCCTGCTGCCTGCCTCGTGGTGGTCCAGTCTCCAGAAGAAAACCAGAAGGACCTTTTTTATAACCCGTTTTGAATTGTAAAAGTAGGCACAATACAAAATATGCCATTTTAACCATTCCTAAATGCCCAGGTCAGTGGGTTGAGCGCACATCCCCACCATCATCTCCAGGATTTCTCATCTTCCAGCTGAAACTGCCCCAGTTAAACACCAGCTCTCCAGCCCCTCCCACCCGGTCCTTGATTCCCACCCTCTGCTCTGTGTCTCTGACGACCCCCCTAGGGCATCGTATGAGTGGCACCTACAGTACATATCGCAGTCTGGCTTATCTCAGCTTTGTGTCCACCAGGTTCCCCGTGTGGGACGTGCCCGCAATGCCCTCCTCTTCAAGACTGAGTAATATTCCCATCTGGGTGGACGACCTCGTGCTCAGCCACTCCTCTGCAGGTAGACACCTGTGTTGCTTCCATGTTTTAGCCCTTATGAGTAATACTGCTGTTATGACATAGTGATTTGAAAAAGGGACCTTTTAAATCATCACGTGCAGTCCTCTCTCTGCTCACAGCCTTCCACAGACCCCACCGCACCTGCGACCGTCAAGCCCTAACGCGGCAGGGATGCAGAGCACCTGCGACTTCCCCGCCCAGCCACACCAGCCCCGAACCCTCCTGCCGCGGACCCTCTGCCACTCCTGCCCCAGGGCCTTCGCTCAAGCCGGGCCCCACGGACAGCCGCGGGCTTCTCCCTCCCTGCTTTGCCTCTCCGGGAAAGCCGGCCCACCCGCCCAGCAAGGCGGCTGCCGGCCTGCCTCATCTGTGCCTATGTCAGTCGGCTCCGGCTCCGGCTGCTGCAACAAAATCCCACAGACCTGGGGGCTTCAAGGCTGTGAGACTGCAGTCAGGTCTGAGCCGGTTTGGCCTCTGGTGACAGCCAGCCTCTGAGTGTCCTCGCAGGGCTTTTCCTTAGGGGGTGCACCCTGGTGTGGGGAGGCGTGTTTTCTGGTGTCTCTTTCCTTTTTTTTATTCAATTTACTTAAAATTAAAAAGATTGTCCGTTTTCCCTTCCCCTTCCTCCCTCCTCTGGAAGGGAAACAGCATTTTCTCTGTACCTCTGACCTTGGCTTTCTTTTAGGTCCCACATATTAGTGGGATCATATGGTGTTGTCTCAGCTTCATACCCTCTAGGGCCATCCGTGCTGTCACAGATGGGAAGATTTCATTCTTTTTCATGGCTGAGTAATATTCCATTTTGATATGCACCACATCTTTATCCATTCATCCATCCATGGGCATTTAGGTTGCTTCCATGTCTTGCTATTGTGAATAATGCTGCAGTGAACATGGGGGTTCAGATCTCTTTCCGAGATAGTGGTTTAGTTTCCTCTGGATAGGTACCCAGAAGTGGAATTACTGAATCATATGGTACTTTTATTTTTGATTTTTTGAGGAACCTCACACTGCCTTCCATAGTGGCTGCAGCAATAAGCATTCCCACCAACAGTGTAGGAGGGTTCCCTTTCTCCATGTCCTCCCCAACACGTGTTATTTATCATCACTCTGATAACAGCCATTCATCAGGTATGAGGTGGTATCTCATGGTGGTGGTGCCTCTTCTCTAAGGACACTAATCCTGTCATTTAACTTTCATTTCTCCCTTAGAGGCCCATCTGCAGATACAGCAACATGGGGTGGCGGGGTGTTACAGCCTCAGCATCTGAACTTGGGGGCACAATTCAGGGCACAGTACCCTGCCTCCACAGCCCCCTGACCCTGCCTGTACTTATTTTTTCCCTACACTTCCCACCTTCACACTCACTGTATAGAATGTGTCAATTGTCCATTGTGTCCAGGGTTCAGGTGGGTGGCAATTTTGCCCTCAGACACATTTAGAAATATCTGTACCTGGAGACATTTTGGGTTGTCATGGATGGCATCAAGGTGCTACCGAATCTAGTGGGCAGAGGCTTGGGGTGCTGCCCAACACCCTGCAGTGCACAGGAATGGCGCACCCCAAATGGCTGACACACCGTGGGTGAGAAAGCCCCATCGGCACCTTCCCGCTGGGACGCCAGGCCCTTGGGGCAGCAGCCTGCATCTCTTCTGCTCTCCGCAGCATCTGGCTCCACCCTGGGACCAGAAGTTGGGCGGAGTGAAAGCAGGAGGCCCAGGTGAGCAGGACCAGCCTGTGCAGGCTCAGGGGCATGGGCCGCATGGCCAGGCCTGGGAGGAGCTGCCTTCAACAGGGCTCGGGAGAGGTGGGACAGGGGGTCACTTCATCAGGAAGCCACTGCAGCCCCCAGGAGGCCGGAGGCAGATGGCAGCAGAAACAGAGCTGGCTGGTGACTGGACATGCCCGTGGCTGCGTGGAAGGAAGAGCCAACAGATGTGGAACCACTTTCAGAGATGAGGAACAGGTGCAGGGAGTGGTGGCCGATTCTGTCAGAAATGGAGGTGAGAGGCGTGGGATCCCCAGGCCCAGGCTCAGAGCCAAGGTCCCGCTGGTGGTTGAAGTGAGGGCATTGCCGGCGTTACATACGGACTGTATACTGACACCAGGAACCTCTAAGTTCATGCCTCAGTGCTCACACCCACTTTCCAGGGCCCTCACCCCTGGCCAACCACTCCAGCTGCTGCCTGTCTGGGACCAAGCTGTGGGGCTGGGGTGCTGAACGCCATCTCAAGGGTCTGGGAGATGCCGGATCTGCTGTCTCACACTGGCCTTGGGCTCGGCCTGGGTGGTGTCTCGGAGCCTTCTCCTTCCAGAGCAGGTGTCTTCGCCCTCACTGACCACCCCCCTTACCCCTTGTTCACCTCACCAGAGGTACGGGGAGGCGGAGCCCATAACAATCACAGAGGGACACAGGTCTGAGGGAAGGAAGGAGGCCAAGGAGACGTCAAGTCTGACGGGAGGGTGGGGGGATTTGGGGGCATGGGCCCAAGGGGCAGTGGCAGAATTTGGTCTTGGTCATGTCTGGGTGACCCAGATGAGACTTTGACAGTAGAAAAGGGCTGGGAGAGGAAGTGAGAGCCAGGGCTGTGCGGCTTCACTGTTTAGCTAGTTAGGCTCTGGAATCTAGTGCACACACAGCACACATTTAGCAGGACAGGGAGACCTAGTCCACCAAATCCTAACCCACAGGCCTAAGCTGATATGTGTGTTGCAGGGGGAAGGGGGAGAGAAAACCCACCCCTAACTGGCTTGTAAGTCCAGGGGGAGGAAATCCTGGGGCAAAATACCTCTAAAAACTGAAATCAGTCAAAGGGAGAAATAAAGTTTATAACCTGTTTATTGCTTACAAACTGC